CATAGCAAGTCAAGAAGATGATAGCAAATTGCTACAAATATTAAGAAATAAATAATCCTACCTCCAGGATTGCATGAAATTCATCTTTAGCAATCACCAGCCTATCTGTGTCACTTGAGTCAACAACATAGATTATAGCTTGAGTGTTTGGAAAATAACACCTCCAATACGGCCTGTGCCACAAAACAGAGTAAGGTAACAACCAGTGAACTTGTGCTATTGGTTAGAAAATCATTTCCCTAAAGTGTAATAAAGTGAAGCTACAAGTGATAACAGAAATAAGGAAAGAAAAATATACCACCAAAATTCTAAATTAAAAAAGAGGGTTATAAACAAAATCATGGAGCTGAGATAAACATGAAAACAAGGGCCTGAAGAGGTCTGCCACAAGGAAGAAGACCTTAAAGCACCGATCAAGAAAAAAAGGGCTTAGGAGTGTTAAACAATATCTTGATCCCCACCCTAACGAGAACATGGTATTATGAAATCAGTGGCCCAACATTAAATTAAATGGGCTTTATGCCTCCACTGATTCTCTCAAGACTTAAAAATGATGATTTGGAATTATCATGGCATATGAGAACGTGGGGAGAACGGTTATAATCTCTTTTCATGCCAAATCAAACACCCACAATAGCTCACCATGATTCAAAACTTTCCATGCTCCAAGATCACCATGGTAATCACATTACAATAAACCAAATTTCCCCTCATTTGTAGCTTCACTTAGCAGACTGTTGAATTTTAAAAAGATATACATTGGACTATTTTATGACGGCACTCTTTGTATTGTACAAGCACATAATCCCCAATTTCAATTCTGGGCTATGTGGGTGAAATCAGCATGTAAATTGGCCAAAAAAGTAACTGGTAACTGACAGAAAATGTGACGCTGTTAAAAAATTAAACATTTTCTGTTATCAAGTACTTGCTAACAAACACAAAACTGAACTGTAAAACAAATATTCAAAATTATCAGAAAGAATTCCCTCAGATTTATGATAATTTCAGTCCGAATTAAATTGAAGAAAATACCACAAGAAGCAAACTTTATTCACATGGTGACACAGCTAATGCATCAAAGAACTCTATTATGTACGAAATAATTATCCAAAGATGCAGCCAGTTTGCACCAAACTACAACTCAGCAAGTTGTGCATCTTACTTTATATAAATGCTAACAAGTATCTAATAATGGTCAGTCATAATATTAATATCTTAACCAAGACAGCCAAAAAAAAAAAAAAACCAACCTACTTGATCAACATAAATAAAAACGCTGTTGTAACATACTCTCCTGCCAGTTAATTCACATTGCACATTAAGAGACCAAACATCTCAAACATATATTACCAACACAAAGCACATTTTAAAGAAAAAAAAAAAAAACTGCAAGTTTATGGAAATTACCTGATACTTGTCTGTCCACCTGCATCAATAGACACCAAGAATACATAAGGAGAAGTTGCAATCTCATTTATATTTTTAACAGGTAAAGAAATGGCCTCAAAATAGAATTTGAAACTTTCTATAGAACAAACCATAATCCCTAAAACATAATCAATAAAAAGCCATGACTGATAAAAAATGAAAGCAAGCAAAAACTAGAACCAATAACCAGAATAAGATATTCAATTCAATCTAACGCTGGTGCATTGCCATTTATTCCCTTCAACCTAACCCCATTCAATAAAACACATTTTTCTTGTATGGAAAAGTAATATCGAGATGATAAACAGCAATCTCTTGGTTCACGAACTTGTTTCAAGATTAATGTTCTGGTTTATATGATGAACCATATAGAAATTTGAGTAAAGAATCTAACACTAAAGGTAGATCAGCTCTAATACAAACAAACAACAGTTGCTTCAATATCTGATACTAATTTTTGTTGTAACAACTATGATCATGCAAAAAGACGTCATACCTAAATCCCAGACCTGGAATTTGATGTTATTATATTGCACCGTCTCCACATTAAATCCAATTGCTGCATCAGAAATTCAGAATGAACAAATGAATCAAACTGAGAGCATAAAGAATGAAACTTTGATAAAGAAAAAGAGCAGAGGAAGAACATTAACTTGGGATTGTGGACACAACTTCACCCATTTGAAGCCGATCTGCAACAAACCCAAAATATCAAATCATTTTCACAAAACCCCAAAATGCATAACAGGGTATCGAGCTAACAACTAAAACAAGCGGAAACTTACAAAGAATTGTGGTTTTCCCCGCATTGTCTAGACCTAAAACGAGGATTCGAGCCTCTTTGTTGCCAAAGATCGAAGAGAACATACGCGTAAACAGTATACCCATTTCGTGATTCGCTCAGAAGCCAGAAAAGAAGAGCTCAGTGCATGGAGGGGGTGGCAGATCTAGAAGAACAAATGGGGATCAGATCTGCCACGCAGCAACCTGATCCTCCCTGCAAAATCCAACACCTACGGCCGTTAATTTCAAGAGAAAAATACAGAATTCAAGGCACGTATGCTTAACGATGGGCGTTATTCTACGGTATGATCTCGGCTTACCTGAAGAGAAACAAAAGGAGAAGGCCTTCTTGCACGAAAGGTTGAGATTTGAGGAGTCAGGTAGAAAGTTCGAGAAGTATGAGATAGAATTTTGGGAGTGGAATTTTTGTTTGCGCTGCTGTTGTGTTTGTTTCTCAGGAAAAGGAATTGGAAACGGAGAAGGAAATTCGGAAGGAAAAGATTGGTAAGTATTCTCTGCGGTGCTGGAGCTCCAGGGCTTGATCGTTGACACGGCCACGTCACGAATTGGGGTTCTGGACTGCTGACGTGGCGGTCTGGAATTGGGTAACTGAATTTTGGGAGGGAAAAATAACAGACACATAATTAAACAACCAATAAAATATGCTCGAAAAAAAGTTGTATTGAGGGAAGTTATTTATTACAGTGGTTCAAAATTAATAATTAATAGGTGATTTAATTTCAATGAATTCTGAATTTATAAAGGGAAATTCTCTTAATGTTTTTTTTTTAAATAAATAATTTTTTTCTACTTAAATTAATAAAACATTGATATAATTATTATCAATTTAAATTCTCTTATACTTATTTATGAAACTATTAATCATTAATTTTAAATTATTATACTAAATAGTCTCTAAACCAATTAATATTTCAGTTTTTGATACTAGAATTCTCATTAAATCAAAATATAGTCCAGATTAGCATATTAATTGATTATGCATGTGACTGATGTTCGGCTCTCTCATATCTTTCAGTGAGCTAATATCGCAGCTGATTTTCTTGCTAAGTTTGGAACGTGTAATGATGTTAATTTTTTTTTTTTTTGAACAATTGTTATGGGCGGATTGAACCATTACATGAGGAAGGAGGGTTAACTTTGAGAGCCACGAAAACCACTTGATCATATGAGTCAGGTTAGTGTAATGATGTTAATTTTACTTTGTAAAGTAATAAAAATTTAATAAAAATTTATGTATGAGACCATAGTATAAAGCTATATAAATTCAGTACAACCAGATTGATAATGGACTAGTGAAGCAGGATATAACTTTACAACAGAACAAAATACTAGCTAATAGGATTGAGATGTATCTTTCTCCTTGCTAAAGCAATATTCAGGTGCTTGAAAATATGAATCCGGCAACGCTGCACCAACCTCGAAGGTAATTACGTGCGTAATTATCCCTGAAAAGAATTACGAGTAAGCCTGGTTAATTATGTCATTGTTTTTCATATTTTTGCCATTAATGTTGAAGTAAATTGAAATAATTTCGATAAATCACGCCTTCATAAGTGAGATTTATACTTAATTATAATTGTGCCGATTTGCAGGAAATTGTAAAATTAGTGGGATCAAATGTCCAGCTACAATTTTATAAAATGGATTGATGAATTGCGTACCATCATAGAAATCCCAGCGAACAGGCCTCTTTGTATGAACATCCTCGTAGTACCATATAAAATCAACCTTCTCCCACCCATTACACAGAAACCCATCCACCACCTGAGTACCCAAATAATTCGCCCCGTTCAGAAAATCCGGCCTGGGAATCCCCACCTCGAAGTTCATAGTCCGGCACGTTGGGTTGCCGCCGAGCGTGTAGTAGAACGAGGTGCCGTTGTCCCACTCTACGTCGTAGAGCAGGACGCCGAGCTGCTTCTGCATCACGTTTACGTTGCGGCCTTTAGGCCAGTCGTACCACAGGTCGGTAATCTGATTGGATTCGTTCAGGCTCATGGACAGGAGTGCGTGGAACTGTTCCGGCCATGGCGTCGGGGTGGGCGTTTCCGGTGAAGGACTTGAAAATTGACTGTAAAAAGCTAAGGAGATTAGACCGATACATGATAGATGGTTTAAAAACTTCATACCGTCTTTGTTTTGCAGCCAAATCCGCTGTTATTTCTCTCAGGTTCTCAGTTGGAAAGAGGGAGAGATACAGATGAATGGTTGAGACTAAATGGAATAGATAATGTACTTTTTGGTAACTTTGAAAAAATAAAGAGAGGATACCATCACTAGATTTTTATTTTTTATTTTTAATGCGACAGAATAATTGATTGAAACTCAATAGGGAAAAGAGGTCGAAAGGAGAGAGTTCTTGTGGGAGAGAGGAGTGAAGAGATAAAATGAGGATTCAAACCGAAAACATATTTTTGCTGATAGTTTACTTGTTTGCATCATACTGGATAATTTTTTTAATGAAATTAAACCACGTGTCTTTAATGTAAATTTAATGGCCACAATTTTTCTATACAATTAGAAATGCACAAATGATTGATGACCAGGATTTGGTGCAATGTGGTCCACAATAAGAAAAATTTATGGCACAATGAATTTCTCACACATAACAGAAATCAAAAGAAAGAGATCAATTGTTTTAGTTGCTAATATTGTGTAAAATAGTTCAGTCGAGGAAAATCAGAAATGATTCTAACAAGCTTGATTATAAAAATTTTGGCAACTAAAATTATATTTTTGACAATTAAAATTATATTTTTGACAACTAATTGACATGTGATAGAAATCTATTTTATAAGAAGAGATTATAAGTTATTAAGGTTCTTTGATTTAGTTAAGCATAATAATAGGACTGTTAGACAAAGTTGTGATTAGATTAGATTTTTTGCAACAACTTAAGTTATGGAAACCCATAAATACAAGATTTCAAGAAAAGTTCAACAAGCTTACCCCTTTCAACAACAGCAACACTTCAATATCTTAGTCTAGCACTAGTTTAGTTTATAGATAGTTTTTATAATGACTTTACAACTTTCTTGTTAGTATAGAAGATAATCAACTCTCTTAACAGATTCTTTGCTTTTGTTGTTTTTGACTCAATTAGCTCTAATAGTTGGACTTAATATAGTTGTTTTTCTTCTACCAGCACATTTCACATTTCTATCAACAATTTATATTTCTGTTTGATTGTTTAGATTTAGTTTTTACTTTGTTAATAAACTTATGTTTCGACCTCTAATTGTAATTCTTTCTAAGATTTCAAGTAAAAATCTTAATTTCATTCTATTTCTATAAGTAGTTAATTTTTTATGTTTTTTCCAGCTTCAATTTACACTTTTATTAGTATTCTTAATTTTCAGTTCTAATTAAGTTTTAAGATTTTTATCGCACTCATTAATTTAATATTCTCTCGTTACCTTAGTCTTAAAACATCCCTTAATTTTGTAATGCACTCCTTTTACCTGTTTCTTATTTCAACCTATTTTACTTAATAAATTAATCTCATTATAACCCTAAATATGAGAAGTCTCTGATGTTCTTCTAAGGCAATTATTTTTGAATCTTAGTGCAAAATTACACCTCATTTTTGTTACAATCATCTAATTACAATATTATTAGCACAATCATTCAATCAAATAGCGTTCTTCTATCAACTTTTAAACAAATTCCTATGCTTGAAAGAAATAAAAAAAAAAAAACTAAAAATCCTTCTTTCTTATTTTGAGCAAAGTAAGCAACACACCTAAATAACTTTTGCCATGCAGCAACCAAGAGGAGATAATTTTAGAGGAAACATTAGTAATTTATTCTTTAGGCCTTCCTTACAAAATTTCTTGTTAGTTTCTTTTTTCTTTTTTCTTTTTTTCACAAAAATTAGAAAACCTATGCATTAGCTCTTCTACTTCATACTCCTTATCAATTGAGTACCTATCCTAAATACTTCTTCTTCTTCTTCTTCTTCTTCTTCTTCTTTTCTTTTTTTCTTTTTTTTTAGATAGAAATCCTAAATACAACTTCTTCCATTAAAGACTTTGAACACAACCCATCGGATAAATTTAAAATTCCACTAGAGGCCAGTGATTAGACAGTGTGTATTTCCAAGACTTCTAACAATTGAAAGGCACGTGGATTAGTAATAAGATTCGACATGAGGTCCTGAAACTTAAGTTGGATGTCTGAAAAAAATGTATACACACGGTCCACACCCAATTTTATTTGAGTCTGTAGCTTTGCAATCCAATATCAAGACCACTACATTAGATGGAAAAGAGGCTTTATCGAGGGGCTTACCCCATTCAACGGTTAGATAGCACAAAACATTTCTAATATTATAACCCATTATAAAACGTGATATTAGACTAATAAAAATTTACGGGGATATATAGATTAGGTAAAAGTTTTATGCTTCAGTACAGATGCGGCTATAATTTGAACTATGGCAAAATACTCTACATAATTCTTATGGGCGAAGTACTCGTGCATTATTCATACTGGCAAAATACTCGCTATATGCTAGTGATAAGCTTGGTCTTTTATATTGCTGATTGGAAAATCATCTCGGCAAGTTCCTGCAACATCACGTATTATAGCTTAATTACATCCACCAATTATTCAAATTTGAGAAGGCAGCGTAAGTAATTCAAGAACTGATCTAATGAAATAGGACTGATATAATAAAATTTAAGAATGAGGGGCAAAAATCTAACTAAACAAGAAGGTGGTGGACTGGTGATTGATGTTCTATACTTCTTACTATAGTTAAGATCACCACTCCATGAATTGTAAAAATTAATGCATCTAATTACCTGCTTAGCAGAAGGAACCTTGGGTTCTCCCCATTCCATAACTTTCTTCTCAAGCATTTCAAAATCAGCCTTACCAGCCTGTTGGATGATCCACATCTTGCATTAGCTATGGTAAGTAACAAACTTTAAACAAAAGAGAGAATGAAAACCATATCACCTCAATTTGTGCTCCAATCTCTGTGTCAAAACTGGCATATCTCTTATGAACAAGCTCTGCCAAAGTACCATCCTATTGTTTTCAATATAAAGATAGTGATGTCAGTATTATCAAATGAAGAAGAAAAGAAACAGGGAATTATTCCTTGAAAAGTGGGGAAATGTAATGATAATACGTACTACCTCGATCAGCTTGGCAGCATTTCGAAGGCCACGGGCCAAGGTATCCATTCCACCAATGTGAGCAATGAATAAGTCCTCAACATCTGTGCTCTCCCTTCGTCTGTAAGATCAAAAGACTTGATATGACAACTTTGAACAGGATTAAAAGTATTACCATATAATGGGATGCAGGTTGTTGTCCATCAAAACTGCAGGCCAATGAAAGGAAAACATTTGGTGCTTACAATTTGGCATCGAAGTTGAATCCTCCTGGTGCTAATCCTCCCTGTCAAATAATAAAAAAAAAAAAAAAGGTAACATCGAAAAAAAAAGGGGACAAAATAGACTAATCATTAAAAAAAAAAAAAAAAAGAGAGGAAAGAATGAGTTGAAACAGCTAATATACCCCCATTTGAAGTAAAACTTTCTTAAAATCTTCAAAAAGAATTAAAGAATCCTTTGCATACATTTTTTATCACACTTAGCATAACCAAAGTTGCCTCTGCAACATCTGTCATGAACTGATCTGTATCCCAACCTGTAGTGCATGGGAAACTCTGAGTTACCTTCAAACATTGAGATCCTTGATGATATGGTTATAAAAGGACTTAAAGCTGCAGCAATAAACTACCAATCTGAGGATCTCCAGTGTTTGCATCAATATTTCCTAGCAAACCACTGATTCGTGCAGTTTCAAGCTCATGATAGCAGCTGTAAAGTATACAACATTGCAATTAAGTCAAGTTGTGATTGGGGAGTTCTAGTCAAGGCTAATAAGCTAGCTCACTTTGCTAAGGGTGCACAAAGTAACAAACCTGTGACCAGAGAGGGTAGCATGGTTGCATTCAACATTCAGCTTAAACTCATCTGCAAAAGGTCATTGTAACAGTGAGACTACAATGTTAATTCGTTAAATAGTAACAGGTTGGAAAACTGGAGTTTCTTAGGTACTGCTTGTGCAACCTGAATTTTAAAGGTCTGGAAAGCTTGGTTTGCAACACATTATAATAATGACAGTAAATTTCCATTCAGTTGAGATTCTCATCTGACAAAATAAATATGCCATTTGAATCTAAGAAAAACTTAAATACTTGTCTTGAACTCTTAATATCAACTGTATGACTGTATTTAAATAAATTCCAGATTCTGCAGCATTATTCCTGAAGTGCAAGTGAAACAATGTCATAGTCAGATGTCAATAATTCATTGAGCTAGGAATACACACCACAATCATTTGATTCATTTCTACTTGTTAAATTGCCTCAGATTACCATTTATAGCAAAGTATCAATGAGGCCATATTGGACATTAGAAAAAGATGTTGTGGAGCTCACCAATGAGGCCATATTTTCTCAAGAAGTTAGATGTTGTTGCAACATCCCAGTCATACCTGCAATTTAAATAAGTCATGTTAAATGATCAAGGACTTTATTTCACTAACCAAATAAATAAATAATCCAAGAAACATACTGGTGCTTGGTTGGTTCTTGAGGCTTGGGTTCAATCAGCAGAGTTCCTGAGGGAGAAAAAAAAAAAAGCATAAACAATTGTTAATCAAAATTTCAGAAAACTAAACATAATAATAGAAAAGAAAAAAGCTTAGCAGATGTGACTCAGTTTTCTTTTGACCGGAATTTCTTTGTTCTGTTGGATGAGAAGGGAGGAGTTATATTACATTTAAAGAGTACTCTAATACAAAGTAAGTTTAGTAGTTTACCAATGAATCCAATCTTCTTCTTGTAGGCAACAGCTGCTTCAAGAAATCTTGCCTGTCAAAATAAATAATGCCTTTAATGCATTGGCCTTCAGATTTTAATGGAAAACTCTGAATAAAAATCCTTAACAATAAAGGAAACCACATAAAAGACAGTAAAAACCCTTGATCCTAACATACAATCAACACAACATAAATTTGAAAAAAAATAAAATAATAATAATAATTGAAGAAATATACCAAAATTCCAAACTACAAAACAGGTGGGATACAGCCATACCAAATGATTAAGCTCTCTTTCCATATCAGTATTCAAGAGAGATTGATAACCCTCACGTCCACCCCAGAAGAGAAAATTTTCCCCACCCAAATAATGTGTCACCTGTAGAATGAGTGAAGCAGGGCACATAACTATAAGCAAAAATAGATACCAACAAAATGCATGCTATTTGCAGAAGAATAAACGGAAGTATTCCCTTTGATATTATACACCCACCTCCATGGTTTTCTTGACCTGAGCTGCAGCATATGCATAAACTCCTAATTCAGAGCTATAAAGAAAATTCAAAGAATAAAACCCATGAAGAGAATTGGGCTGAACCCAGAATAATATATGAAGGAAAGACATAGAACATGGTTAAACACTAATCATATTCAAACCTTGTAGCACCACCATGCATGTAACGAGGATGCAAAAACAATTGGGCTGTACCCCATAAAGGTCG